GGAAAGCTGACGTTTTGGGTTTGGACCCTTCTTCAGAAATGGGGGAGGGGAAGGGGGCTCTGAAATAAATAGAGAGAAGGGGAGGCGATGATGGAAGGTGGATGAAGGAGCAGATAGCTGGAGAGGAGATGGACAGTTTAGGAGGCGGGGATGGGGCCGGTAAAGGTGAGTGTAGGCAGGAAGTTGGGATTGGGGTTGGTCAGTCAAGGGAAGATGGACAGGTCAAGGAGGCGGGGATGAGGCTGGTAGGTAGGAGATGGGGGTGGGGGTTGGTCTGTGAAGTGGGAGGAGCAGATAGGTGGGAGAAAAGACGGACAGGTCAAGGAGGCCCAGGATGGACATGTCATCCAAGGAATGGGAGGGGAAGTTGAAGTGGTTCGCGACTGGGAGGTGCAGTTGTTGGTCACGAACCGAGCGTAGGTGTTCCGCAAAACGGTTCCCAAGCCTCCGCTTGGTTTCCCCGATGTAGAAGAGGCCACATCAGGAACAGTGGATACAATAGACCACATTAGCAGATGTGCAGGTGAACATCTGTTTAATGTGGAAGGTTTTCTTGGGGCCTGGGATGGGCGTGAGGGGGGAGGTGTAGGGGTAGGTGTAGCACTTCCTGCGCTTGCGGTCCTTGTAAAACGAGGACATCTGGGATGTCCAGGAGTGGAACGCCTCATCTTGGAAGCAGTTGCGGTGGAGGCAAAGGAATTGAGAATAGAGGATGGCATTCTTGCAGGAAGGTGGTTGACAGTAGGACCATCTCCGATACCTCTCTCTCCTTCCTGGATCTCTCTGTTTCCATCTCTGGCCACCACCTGGAAACAGATATCTATTTCAAGCCTACCGACTCCCACAGCTACCTAGAATACATCATTTTTCAAGGACCGCAATTTCCCCTCCACAGTGGTCAAAAATACCCTCGACCGCATCACTCGCATTTCCCACAACTCGTCCCTCAACCCCCTCCCCGCAATAACAACAAAGACAGAATTCCCCTCGTCCTCACGTATCACCCCATCAACCCCCGGATCCAACACATCATCCTCCGACACTTCCGCCACCTGCAATCCGACCCCACCACCAAGGACATTTTTCCCTCCCCACCCTTATCTGCCTTCCGGAGGGACCACTCTCTCCGTGACTGCCTTGTCCGCTCCACACTCCCCATCAGCCCCACCACCCCTGGCACTTTTCCCTGCAACCGCAGGAAGTGCTACACCTGCCCCTACACCTCCCCCCTCACCCCCATCCCAGGCCCCAAGAAAATCTTCCACAGTAAACAGATGTTCACCTGCACATCTGCTTATGTGGTATACTGTATCCGCTGTTCCCGATGTGGCCTCCTCTACATCGGGGAAACCAGGCGGAGGTTTGGGGACCGCTTTGTGGAACACCTATGCTCAGTTCGTGACAAATGACTGCACCTCCCAGTCGCGAACCATTTCAACTTCCCCTCCCACTCTTTGGACGACATGTCCATCCTGGGTCTCCTCCAGTGCCACAACAAGGCCACCCGCAGTTTGCAGGAACAGCACCTCATATTTCACTTGGGAACCCTGCAGCCCAATGGTCTCAATATGCACTTCACAAGCTTCAAAATCTTCCCTCCCCGACCGCATCCCAAAACCAGCCCAGCTCGTCCCCGCCTCCTTGACCTGTCCGTATTCTCTCCCACCTATCCGCCCCTCCCTCCTCACTGACCAACCCCCACACCCCACTTCCTACCTACTCTCACCTTTACTGGCTTCATCCCTGCCTCCTTGACCTGTCCGTCTTCTCTCCACCTATCTGCTCCTCTATCCGCCTTGTATCATTGCCTCCCCCTCTCTCTATTTATTTCAGAGCCCCCTTCCCCGCCGCCATTTCTGAAGAAGGGTCCCGACCCGAAACGTCAGCTTTCCTGCTCCTTTGATGCTGCTTGGCCTGCTGTGTTCATCCAGCTCCACACCGTGTTATCTCAGACTGTGCCCTCTGGTTCTCAATCCACTCACGCATGAAAACAGTTTCACCTGATCCACTCCATTCACACCCCTCATAAATTTTGAAAACTCCTTTCTACTCTCTTCTTCGGCTTCTCCACAGCGTCAACCTCTCCAAACATTCCCCGTAACTGAAGCATCTCATCCCTGGAACTATTCACATAAACTTCTTCCTTGTATTCCTCCCTCTGTTCCATTACGCTAATGCACTTTGTATGGTATGATCTGCCTGTTCTGCATGCGAAACAAAACTTTTCACTGTACCTTGATACATGTGACAATAATAATCAAATCAAATTTTCCACATCCTTGTTATAGTGCAGACCCAAAACTGGTTGCAATACTCCAGTTGAGGTCTAAGCAATGCCTTATGTCGGTCCATTGTAACTTATCTGCTCTTGTGCTCTATGCCCATCTTTATGAAGCCTATATGCTGCAGCTATATGTGTATGCCCCTGGTCAATGGGTCCATATCACTCCTATCTATTCTCCGACAAATATGAAATTCTCGCTGCCACAACAGTTTGAGTTGAGGTCTATTCCCAATATTTCTGCACTTGTATTTACACCTTATCCTGTTCTGGCCTCCAGCCATACAGCTGTCTATGGTAACTGGTTCTCACTGTGCTGTTGGGAGTTCCTGTGTTCAAACCTGCCTGTCAAATATCTTGCTGCTGCTCAAATTCATTTAGCATCCCATGTTTTTCCTCCCATCACAAAATAACAAGATTAAGCGGTTCCACCTTCCACTTAATTCCGAACGTTCCTGAATATTACCCTTCAAACAGGGTGCGTTTCTCAGGAAGGGTCACCGGACCCGAAACGTTAACTCTGTTTTCTCCTTCACAGATGCTGCCAGACCTGCTGAGCTTTTTTCAGCAACTTTGTGTTTGTGTTTCTCAGCAGATTGCCAAACAATGCTTCTCACCCTCCTCCAGTTTTCCAGGTGCTTTTCCCCCCCTTTACCAAACACATGATCAAATCAGATTCCCCGTTAGTTTTCATGGGAATCTCAGACAGACACTTGCTTCGTGAAAACCAACGAAGACTATGGCTGCAAGAGCAACTCACAACTCTGGTCTTTTGAACCTGAAAGACCCTCTGTGTGCAGTATTCACTATGTGGTGTTTCCTCTCTTTAAAATACACAGGTCAACAAATTTTGTAACAGTGAAACATTCAGGAAGATTTGATGCAGCAACCAATTTTATATGAACCATTCATTCCCAGGTCAGTAGGTCCATAACTACATAGCAAGTAGAATTACTTGGAACACAGCATGTAAAATTATATTGCTGTAGTGAAATCCCACTGCTTGAGCTATCAATTGACTTAAAAGTGGACGATTTTAGGATAGTTCTCCTTTGTGATGAGAGAAAAAGATGATTTTATATATACTGAGCCAGATTAAATTCAGAAAACAAAGTATAAATTTCAAAGTGGGCTGTAGGTCTGATACTAAGGAACACAATCTAATGTTTCTAGCAAGGGCCAGTTTGGTGGTCAATCTAAGAGGCAAAGAGGAATTATGAGAAAAAAAGATACTGGCAACTAGCAGAAAATTGAACCCCCAAGTTTTCTATATGCACGTCAATAGTGAAAGGGTGGTAAAAGGAGCAGTAGGGTCGATTAGGGACTAAAAGATGGGATTTACAGTTAAAAGAGGCATGGTTTGAGGTGCTGAATGAATACTCAGAACACAGAACAGTGTAGCACAGGAGCAGGCCCTTCAGCTAATTAGGGACTAAAACAAATGAGATTTTTACTCCGAATCCCGAGAGTATGGATATTGACCATTTGACCCATGCAGTCCACAATCACCCTTCGAACAGCATCCCACCCAGACTCAAACCCCGCCCGCCCCCACCCTATCCCCATAACCCTGCATTTCCCACGGCTAACCCACATAGACTGCACATCCCTGGACATGATGGGACAATTTAGCACGGCTAATCCACACTAACCTGCAGATCTTTGGACTGTTGGAGAAAACCCATGCAGACACGGGGAGAATGTGCAAACTCCACACAGACAGTCGCCCGAGGGTGGAATCGAACCCGGGTCCCTTGGCGCTGTGAGGCAGCAGTGCCAACTACTGAGCCGTCATGCTGCCCAAAGGCAAGAGGCATGGTTGAGGTATTAAATGAATACTTAGAATGTAGGGTGTAGAACAATATAGCACAGGAACAGGCCCTTTGGCTCATTGTGTCTAACCTAGCATCTGTCTTTACCTATCAGGCAGCTGCTGGTCTGCTTTTGGTGACAACAGAGGAAACTCAGTCACTAGAAGGATTCGAGGAGGAATTTAAAGTTGATATGACACTGGGAGCAGACGAGATACATCCATGAAAGAAGTGAGGGTGGAGAATTGCAGAAGCACTGGCATTCCCTGGATTCAGGGGTGGTGCCAGAGGATCAGAGAACTGGAAAGATTATGCCCTTGCTTAAGCAAAAAGTTGCAAAGATCAGCCCAGCAATTACAGACTAGTCGTGTCTTAACTTCTCATTTCGCCATCTCATCTCAAAGGTGGTATCTGAAACAGTGCAGTGCTCACTGGCTCATGCACTAAGCTGCCAATCTGTACTATCAACGTAAGTATGGTCAGAACACACTGTCTTCACGCTCAGAGACAAATGCCCTATCGCTTAGCCAAAAGCCAGCACAGGGTTGAGGCTATCTTCCAGGAAAATGAGAAGAAGAATCCAAGGAGGCAAGAAAGGTATTGTCATTGGATGCAATCAAGGCAGATCTGTCATTACTGCCAGTGCAGTTCCTGCTTTGTCAATGTACACAGGGACAGTAACAATCACAAAGTAAACCATCTCCCGGTATTCAGACTCATACTTCGTGAAATCTCCGTAATATTTTCTTTGTGAAAACTATACAAGATAGTAACAACAAAGAGCTTTGGGTGATTGTTCAACAGACATGAGACAATAAAGTGACTGTCCTCTAAAAGGCTTATGGCAAAGGATATCACAGGGTATCAGCTGGTGGTGAATAAATGACCTGCCAAAAACGGATGCTCACCTTCATCCATGCCATTCAATATCTCATTGAGCTCCTGTTCTTTACAGTCATATTGGTGTTCCTTCCAGACTTCTCCATTTTCACTTCGAAGCACGATAAGCTCCCTTTCTTTGTCTCGCATTGACCCAAAATGTGGGATTTCCACAATCACTGGGCTAGAAAGAAAACAGACTCTTTTGTCTTATCCTTATTTGGCAGACCAGAGCAACTTTTGTCTAAATTTTTTTTTCCAAATCCCATTTTGGGAACAAATTCGACCTCTTTTCTAAACCAGGCTTTGCATTTTAAACCCTCCTCATCACGGAAAGTGTAAATTTGGTCATTTTAACCCTTTGAGAATTGGGACAGCAAACTGGGAATTTCAAGTTTCTTTTCTGATTCTTGAACTTTTCTTTTGAAAGAATGTTATTCTCTCTGTATATTTACAGATTGTAGAAGCCATAGAGAGAAAAGTTTCAGATTTTACTTGAGCGAAGTCACTTTCGCAATTAGCACTCAAAGGGTTACATACAGAAGTGAAATTCTCAAATCACCATGATGTACTACTTACAAACCCTTCATAAGCAACATTAAGACAGTTGGCTTTTCGGTCGCCTACATAGGCTGTATTCTTCATTTAAATTCAAAATGTACAAAACCATTGCCAATGAAGAAAGGAGGAAGTTGCTGTAAGATGAAACATTTCATTGACTATGGAACTTACGCATTTCCACGGTTTTGTTTGGTTGGTCACCCAAAGGAAGTCAAGCATTCGAGTGAAACTCAACAATAATTTTCGGATGGGCTTTTAAAGAGGCTTCATTGTATGAAAAGTAATTTAGCACTGATATTTTTGTACCTAAACAATTGACAGTACAATGCAAGATGCCCCTATTTGCAATGAGGCAACCCCCATTCCCTTTTTTGGCCAGAATATTGGGAATGAAGAAATGTCTCTGGTTACTCACATTTCTAACATTCGACTTCATAATATTCAACATTGGACATACACAGAAAAACATTTGTGCAAATGTGTGGAAAAGCATATGGGATTATTGAAGGATGCAATGGACATTCAACACAGTTGGGTTCCATCTCGGAAATACGGCCTCATTCGGCACCGAAACTCTTACACTGTCCCGCTTATAAGAAGAAAACACTCCCGGCAGATCGATCATATCCTGTGTGTAGTGCAAGACATCCAGAATGGAAACATGGATATAGAGAACGTACCAAACCTTTGAGAATATATCAAGATCATTGGGAATGGACCAAATTGTTGCATAAAATGTTTAAAACCTACATTTTGCGAGGCAGAAGTGCTTAGGACCGCCTTAAGTTTTTGAGTAGTTGTATGACACCAAATTTCTGACGATCTTAAGCAGGCATACTTAAGAGATCCCAGCATTTTCAGTCAGTCTACGTCGAAAACCAATTTCAATGTTAATTTTAAGAATGTGTGAAGCATGCAGTCCCAAAGCATGTAGGCCTGTTCCACCACTTCACAAGATGTACCACATGCTTACCGAAACGAATGAGCACAAGGGTCCTTTTGCACTGACCCGTTGTAAAGCTAACGAAAACCAACAATTTTCTGCCATGGGATGACTTGACGTCTCATGATCTCTGCACCTCTTTCCGAAATCACGTTGCCCCTTATGCAGGGGGGCAAACAGACCAGTTGTCATTTCCGCTGATACCTTCTCTATACCAGTAATGAATGCGAACAGCTCTCACAGTTTACTTGAATGTGTTTGATGTGGCCGAGAGAGATTTGAAAAGAGGTGACATACAGGAGTAAAGCAGTCATGAAGGCAGAATGCTTGCAGCGAATAGAAAACATGCCTAGCGCCAAGCTTAAAAACAACATAGCTTTGATATAATCAAGCCACTATGATCATCTCTCTGGTGACAGAACTGAAAGTCGTTCTTTCCAAAAAAAAAGGTAGCAGAAAAGAAATACATGGGGAATGACTAAAATAAAGACCAAAGAAAATTCAAACCAAAATTATAATCTGCTGTGACAGTTTGTATCTTTTTTAAGAAACATCCTACCCAATAAATTTTGTCCCTCGTGGCCCAAGCTGCAGGATTCGGCTAACCAAGCTCTCACCCTCATTGAGAGGGGGAGGGTTGGTAGGAAGGTGCAGTTTACTGAAAAAAAAACATCCATGCAGCAGTAAAGGGAAACAAAAAAGTGGAGTAAAAAAACAATGAAGAAACTGTCATTCCCAACAGTATCCAGAATTTAAATGGAGCATTTGCAAGACTTCACACTAACAGAATGAGCAAAAAAATTCACCCGGTTCTGCAGAGTTATTGAGAGCCACTTCATAGTGGGCCGTTTGGAGAGGGTTCCTCGAGTTTGGGTGTTTGCAAATGATCAAACAAAGATGTCCAATTTTACTTCCTGTTTGGTAGAATATTATGGTATTCTGTTTGGCCACCGTTAAGCATTTTCACAAATTTCCTCCTCTAAGTTGCTGATTTTAAAAGGAAATTTTTTTTTATATAAAGAAAACTGGCACGCAATATTTTACAAGCTCCGTGAGTTCCTTAGACTTTCGACGCTCTCCTCAAGCTCAAGCCAAAAGCTACCGTTGGAGGATCTGTCAGCTTTCGCCGCAAAACACACACACACACACACAGTCTCTCTCTCACACACACACACACACTCTCTCTCACGCGCACACACACACACACACACAGTCACACGCGCACACACACACACTCTCACACACACACAGTCTCTCTCACACACAGTCTCTCTCTCTCTCTCTCTCACACACACACACACAGAACACACACACACAGTCTCTCTCACACACACACACAGAGAACACACACACACACACAGTCTCTCACACACACACACAGAGAACACACACACACACAGTCTCTCACACACACACACAGAGAACACACACACACACAGTCTCTCTCACACACACACAGTCTCTCTCACACACACACAGTCTCTCTCACACACACACACAGTCTCTCTCACACACACACACAGTCTCTCTCACACACACACACAGTCTCTCTCACACACACACAGTCTCTCTCACACACACACAGTCTCTCTCACACACACACAGTCTCTCTCACACACACACACACACACACACATACA